TTCCGCAAGCAGACATTTTGACATTGAATTAGAAAAGCGTTTAGTAGAGGAGCGGGCAGAGCTTCTCCGCAGAAAGAAGGAGAGAGAAGAGGCTCACCTGTATATCAATGTGGGAGTTCTATCGGACGAGTCGTACAAGTCACATCATGGATTCGATCTGACGAGCACGGACCTACCGGCCGGCGATCCTGCCCTGCCGAAACAGTACAGGATTCTCCGGGCTAAGAAGGTTGGCGAGTTCGTAGAGCAGCTTGCGGAAGAACGGGCTCTGAATGCAAACCAAATCAGGCTGTGGGTGATGGTGAACCGTCAAAACAAGACGACTCGCCCGGACCAAGCCATCAAAGACCCAGAAATGACGGTGGAAGACGCCTACAGCAGATTTGGGACCAAAGGGAACCCGTTCAAAGTCTGGATGGAAGTTGGGCAACCATCTGCGGATGGAACCATCTCGTGGCCTGACAGCAGTACTTCTGTTCTCGTCTTTTTGAAGAACTTTGACGTCCCCTCTCAGACTCTTTCTGGAGTCGGTGCCGTATACGTCCGCAAGAATCAGAAAGTCGCAGAACTCGCCCCGACAATTCTCGAGAAAATGAATTGGCCTGCCGGGACAGAGTTCATGCTTTTTGAGGAAATCAAGCACAACATGATCGATGTGATGAAGCCGAAGCAGACTTTCCAGCAGTCTGAAATTCAAGACGGCGACATAATCACGTTCCAACGCACAGTCAAAGAATCCGACTTACCATCTACTGCACTATACACGGATGCAAGGCAGTACTATGACTACTTGTTGAACAGGATAAATATCACATTCGCTCCCATCAAAGCAACTGATGGCGACGAGTTCACTCTCACTCTGAGCCGAAAGATGACATACGATCAGTTCTCGAAGAAGGTCGGCGAGCACCTCAACGTGGAATCCACTCACCTGCGTTTCGCCCCTGTTCTTGCTAGTACCGGAAAGCCCAAGCAGTTCATTAAACGCAATCCTAACCAGGCCAACCAAACGCTGTACCACATCCTTAGTGGGCAGGTCAGTGGCTACGGTTATAGTATGCATCGCCAAGATGCACTATACTACGAAGTCCTTGAGACTAGTCTCAGTGATTACGAGTCGAAAACTACACTGAAAGTAACATTACTCGCCGAGGGCATTGTGAAAGAGGTAAGTTTGCCCTATCATCGAGCGGTAGGGTCATTTATGCTCATTTTTACGTCAGCAATTGGTTGAAGTCCTAGTGCCTCGGGACGGCACCTTCGCGGATCTTCTGGCGGGTCTGCAGAAAAAGGCAAATCTTGAAGATGATGTGGTTCGAGAAATGCGGATCTTCGAGGCCCACAGCGGCAAAATCTACAAGGAGTACCAAGAAGATGCTAAGATCGCTGGCATCAATGAGTATGTGACTTTATACGCCGAGAGGATACCCGAGGAAGAGCTTCAGATGCAGGACGGCGAACGGACAATCAACGCATTCAGCTTTGACCGAGAGCCGAGCAGGCCGCATGGTATCCCGTTCAAGTTTGTCATGAAACCCGTATGCATATCCCATTTTGTGCCTTTGGCTTTCACTAGTGCTCACACCTTTCAGGGCGAGATTTTCAAGGAAACAAAGGAGAGACTCTCCAAACGAACCGGCATCAAGGGCAAACAATTTGAGAAGATCAAATTTGCTGTCGTTCCCAAGTCAATGTATTCTAACCCGCGGTATCTAGATGATGGTAAGTCATGCATTTCCCTTCCAAAATCAAGATATGGAGGCGCTAATGTGACCATCGCAGATGATATCCTTTCCGACATTGTTGGCGAATCCGACGATCTGCTGGGACTGGACCATGTAAATAAAAGCCGGAGCTTTTGGAGCAGGAGCGAGTCTTTTTTCATTCGATAGATGAGGTGATCTATGCGATGTACTCGGTGGCGACAATTCCGACCATCAAACCTATGCTTATAGATAGCACGCATGCTATTCCTATTGATGCCTCATACTTGAGAAATACCATATTCTTGTTTGAATATTTCCAAGGTCTGCTGGGCTTTGTAGCTCTCTTGTGCCAACAACTTCTAAGGCTTGGCGTTTTCTTATACTGTTTACATCTTCTTTCAGTGTTGGCCTAGTGTCCGTTCCTGCAGAAGGTACAAGGATTTGAGCACTTTCAAACCGCCCAAGTCTGCTTCTTCGCGAGCTCTTAGTATTATAGTTTTTTTAGTATGGCACCTATCACTCCACGCCTGTTGTCATCTGTCTATGGGGAGGACCATATACAAAAATAAGCTTCCTGATGGGGACTAGTCCAATTGTGGTATACTGCAAACACAACAAACGGCGGCGGAACGCAAAGCTGTCCAGAACTTCCCACTCCTCCTGAGCTCCGTTGAAGTCGCGTGTGTTTGGAGTCAACTGTTTTTTTGTGAAGGGAGCCGCCCCGTTTGACCACGGACCCTCTTTTCTCTTTCCTAACCCACAATGCAATTCTCAACTGTATTGATAGCTCTCCTGGCCACTCTGGTCTCGACCGTGACGGCGACCGCTTTAACGTACAGACTCGAGGCCAACGAGAAGGCCTGCTTCTATAACTATGTTGACCAGAGGAATGCCAAGGTTGCGTTTTATTTCGCCGTATGCTCTCCGTCTTCTCACCCCTGGGAACAGAAAATGACAAGCGCAAGAAAATGATAAACGGAAAACATGGCTGATAATGCGTTGACTCCAGGTTCAATCCGGCGGCTCTTTCGATGTCGATTATTCAGTTGTTGGCCCTGGGGAGAAGGTTATCCTAGACGGAACCAAGGAACGGCAAGGCGACTTTGTCTTCACAGCTCAGAGCATTGGAGAGTACCGATTCTGCTTCAACAATGAGATGTCAACGTTTGCGGAGAAAATGGTCGACTTTGAGATTGCTGTATGTTCGGGTCCTTGGATACACAGTGGCACGATTTATATCGGGGGGCTCATTGATTAACTCGGAGATTTATTGTAGGTCGAGAATGAGGAGCGCGCGCAATTGCCTTCACGACAAGGTGCCAGTCCCGAGCAGGCATCGGCCCTCGAAGAGTCCATCTACAAACTATCCGCTCAGCTGTCGACTATTGCCCGCAACCAGAAGTACTTCCGGACCCGCGAGAACCGCAATTTCAGCACGGTTCGCAGCACCGAGAGGCGGATCTTCAACTTCAGTGTGATTGAGGGCTTGATGATGGTGTCCATGGCTGGTCTGCAGGTGTTTATTGTTCGGTTCTTCTTCCAGGGCGCACGGAAAGGTACGTATTCCCATGCTTACGTGGCCATGGAAGCCGGCATCATATTTGAATCTATTGTTTTTTTCCCTTCCTTGATTCAAGTCCACATCTGACTGACGTCCTTGCAGGCTACGTGTGATGAATGACATGAATAATATGGTTTTGTCAGTTGAATTGTGGTGTCTACTATTGTATCTATCCCCTTGTCATAGGTTCTAGAATTAGCGCACCTTTGATGCTGAAGCCTGTTTCTCTTACAAACGAAGGTAGCGATGACCAGGCGACCTCTAGCCCTTGGGTGGAGCAGGGCGAAACTCATTGCGTAGCAAGCTTTCGTACTCCTAAATGGGGTAAAGATATCATGTTCCGCGTTAGTGCGCACCTTGTAACGCTCATGGGGTTTTCCCGACTCTTGTTTTCCATCCGGTTTCAACTAATACCTGTACAACAAGGTATGTAAGGAATGACCTCACTGGATCCATAAGCGGTTCAGGGCAACGAAACTAAACGATGTGTACAGAGTAGCGGCTAAGGAGGAATCTATGAGAGAAGGGCAAGACGGCGAAGCGATCTTCCTCAGGAATCAGGTCAGATGGTGTTCCTTATGTAGAGAATAAAGATGAGTGGTTTCAGTATAATGCGTAGAGTTAGAGCATGTGCTCATCAGTGGAATTGTCTGCCCTAGCATTGGAAACATTCAGTCTTGTCTGTCTGTCTATTTAAAAGTCAATGTCAAGAAGCCCCAGACCAGGAACAGGTTTGGGATGTCACAATGCACAGAGGCATATACCTAATTATATCTTGATGACAACATCCCAGCTATCACTGAAACTAGTAAAGTGATTTAATTATAGCGACAATCTAGGATAGTAACCTATTTATTCTCCTGATTCTACCTACTATTATACAGTCAGTACTAGAGGCATAATTCTCCTAGTAAGGTGAGTGCGCACTAAGTGTGTGACAAGTGACCATACTACAGACTAGCTGCGCCCATGCCTGCATCTATACCCAAACCCTCTGCAGTTATGCCGTACTGTAGCTGCTATATCCATACAATAGTGGTATGCTAATGCATACCACATAGAGTAGCTCGCTGAGCGTCTGTTCCCTGAATGTTTGCTCCATTGAGCGTTTGTATACACGTGCGGTGGAATACATTTTCCTGTCGCTCACATTATACATGACCGTCGCCTGCTTGATCAGCTTTGTTCAATATGGGGGAGAACCCACAGAACAAGAAGAACTTCGAATGGGCCTGGCAAGGAAGCTCTGGGACAAGTGTTACAACTTTCCCACCCTCAGTGTGTGTTGGGTGTCCATCCTTGTCCTGGTTTGATGAAAAGACCTAGCAATATCCGAGACCCGCTATTGCTGGAAAGCGGATCGATGAAAAATGGGCGCATATTTTCTGTTGCGTGTATGGAGTGACATGAAACAAGCAAGGAGGATGGGTTGAAGTATCCGAAATGGTATAAACCGGTCGATCGTTTTGATATTGCTGAGATCCAAGTTCCAGAAGAAGCGCTTCTAGGGCTTCTTGACCGCGCTTTCGCAAGGAGCTTCCTCAAAGAGTAAGATGGCCTGAATCTGTTATGCAAATAAGCTAGGACGACCGAGGTCTGTTCATCTCTGTCGGGTGTTCAATTCACACCAAATTGCTACTGCTACACCTATCCCGATACCAAAGCAGACTAATCAGAGTTACGTGCTGCTCATAAGATGTAGTTATATTTCTGGCAGCGCAAAAAACAATGTAGCCCGATTAACTCAGTTGGTTAGAGTGTCAGACTTGTAAGTTCTTAGTTCTGATTAATAATCCGCCAAACCACCGCTAATGATATCTCAGTTATGGTAAGAGATCTGAAAGTCGCGAGTTCGACCCTCGCATCGGGCGAGTTTCCTTTTTGCCCTCTCCATCATACTGATTGCCTACTGAGGTAATGGTGGTCTTTTTTTTCCCATTAGCCTTTGCGCGAGTTTTGAGAGAAAATTATAGATATGCAGGTGATATAGTATGTGAAGTATACCATACAACCCACACACTAACGTACCTTATCGACCATCCAAAATTCAGGCGATACATTCTCCCTACGAGAGAGAGATGTAGGTAGCAAATATTGTCAATGCGCAAAGCAAAGCCTAGCTTGGTACCTTACAAGTCTAAGAACCTCGGAACTTTCCATCTAATGGCCCGATTAACTCAGTTGGCTAGAGTGTCAGACTTGTTCGTACCCCTCTTAGTCATCATCTTCCTTCGCACATTGCTAATTCCCATCCAGTTAATCTGAACGTCGGGGGTTCGAGCCCCCCATCGGGCGCTTTACTTTTTTTCCCCTTTGTTATCTCTGTTCTTTTCAACTTCATCCTTTTTTACTTCACTTACCGTTAGATATCCGTACATCCTCTCGTTTCTCATGTAAGGGAGAGTCTCTGTATCACTCCAGTACTGGTCTTAAAGTCGACCCACTGAGGTTGGAGAAATTGAACCATCCCAGCAGTCCGGCTACAGGTGTCTCGGGTTGTCTCAGTGAATACCTCTCAAGAAGTCAGAGAGAATAATAGTACGGAGTACTCCAGCAGATGACGTTGTCCTACAGGCCTGCCATTTCAGGTGTTGTTGCTAGGCAAAATTCTGCGTCGCGCAGTGATTTCACCCTTCATCCATCCCAAACAGTGTGATATCATCAGGGACATCATAAGTGGTGCTTGGGACCGTATTGCTCTACAGCTTTTACGACAATCATGACAATTGTCTGGGTGCTACCTACACTACGAAATACCATTCGTACTCGAAAGGTTTCTAACTTGGATCTTCAGTGGATAACCACGCTCTTGGGGTGGTCCAATGAACTCCGGTTTGGACTCGGGATATGAAAAGATGGCATTCAGAGAAGCGAACAGTGATGGATGGTACGGCGTAGGATTAGAGTGACTTGCCTCACCGGGGGGAGATCTGATACCGCTGATTTCATCCGATTCCAGCAACATCCACAGCTGTGTCGAGACGAACATCATGGAATCTAGAACCTCGCTAACGATCAAGCGGACATGCCAATCTGCCCTTTTTCGAATATGGTGCCGTTCCCACTTGGGTTTTCTTGGTGCCAATCAATCAGCAAAAGACCCAGCAGGGAGGTAGGAGGCTAACGTCTCCTAGAGCGGTTCCTCTGCGTCATTAGCCTCGTCCGCTGGTACTGTACTGATGGGCCACGAAATTCATCGGAAGGTCGCGAATGCGCCATGAAACTAGTATGTAAGTGTATGACCACATTAGGTTAGGTGCTTCAACTCCAGTCTCCGAGATTTGTCGATGTCGATGTCGACTACTGACGTATTGACAGCTGTAGGCCGCAGATCAGTCAGGATATCCGCGTTGCATTCCCTAGCGAGCGGAAGTTGGCGATGCGCTGACAAAATGACAGACATGAGCGAGGTGGGGGGAAGGTGGCAAAATTACTGCATCTTTTCCCTTTTCTTGTTCTTTTTGTTTTTCCTTTCTTACTTTTCTCTCCACGGTCCACGATCCACGGGCCGAAGGGAAGACCATCGGCTTCTATTGGCTTCGGAAAAGGGTTGCGAAGGACGGGGTGGGAAAGGAACAATATATATTGGACTAGCTTAACTATCTTGGGCGGAGAGGCGAGATTCACCATTTGCCGACATGGCTTGGCCGGGGATTACCAACGTATATTGAACCGTTAACTTTAAAATTGTTGCCATAAGATTCTTTTGAGTATCGCCTCCAGATTTGCATGATGTCCACTGTGTTGACAAACTCAAAGGTTGTGGCTGCGGTAGGTAAGTATCCATACTACGCACACTGATCATCGTTGTCAACAGTTCCGAGCTCCTGGGTCCAAGACATTCAGTCTTCCAATTATTGCAAAATGTCGTAGATAGAGATCGAGATTTCATATTCAATATGCTCATATTTCTATTCATCTACAGGAGTCATTGGCTTCCTGCAGATATACAAGGTAGCATCTCCTCCGAGTATACCTAATGTACCCGTAGGCTGTGGCACAAGCCACATGACATCATTCAGTAACTCCAGACACCCCAGGCTCGTGCTTTTTCTCCACCACCAGAAACGACAAGATGGAAGTCCATCGAAACTTCACCCAGGCTGATGGCGTAGAGCAGCACAGACACAGGCATGTCATCTTCAATTCATGCACAGGAAGCACCAAGAGAAATGAGGGGTCCGATGTACAGCTTCAACCACAGACAGTTCTCTGTTTCATCCACCTGCCTACCTAGGTAGCCTAGGTTATCATCGAGCGAACTGACCAACCGACCCTGACAACCTCACATTGGCTGATCTCTCGGTCTGCCTGATGAATCGTCAGTGCACAATTGTGCAGTACCAATCTGTCTTCGCTATGCGGCCTATCCACCTGTTTTACAGCATAGCTCTAGGCCTCTAACGGCCATGAGCCTGACACTATACTCGATTTGTTGCGGGATACTCTCTGCATGGACTGCTTCCTATTCGTCCCTCAACAGACGAGTTCTCCCCAACGGGTCAAGGAACACTTATCTCGCTTTCAAGCTATTTTGAATACACTGCACGGAGCCATCAGGATCAAACGCGCATTGAACTAATGATTTAGCATGACAACTAAACTCGATTCATTGGCACCTCTAGTCCTATGTTTCTTAGAACGGATAACACAGTTTGCCTGGGTAGGATCATGAATAGCTTCCAGGCACTCATCTCCGCGCGGATAACCATGCAGACAACAATCTCTCAGCAACTTTCTTGAATGCCTGCCTCGACCACCATCTGGGCCTCAGAGACTCCAATTACAACGGATCGACCGCATTGACAGAATTGTTCCCAGTGGTGATCTGCAGGGACGGGTTGCCTCGTCTTGTCGATCGAAAAGCGCCATCAATTTCCTGTGGTCCACTCCCGACCCTCCAGTGACCTCATTCCTGTCCCCCGTAAGACCATCTGGGGGTCCCGCCAACCCATAAGATTGTGGTGGAGCCTGTTATTATTGCCAATCCCAGCCATTCTCAGTGTACAGTGCCCCTAAAAAGGATTAACTACATGACAGCGTCCCGTCGATGGTATTATTACTGACTAGTCCGAGCAAACAGAAAAAAAAGACATCCAATATCCTTTTCCCTTCTTTCTTTTCTTCGTCTAATTTTGTGTCAGTACTGTCGGCTGGACGTCCTGGCCAATGATGTCATCCGATTCGAGCCCCAGAGGACTCTAGTCTCCAGCGATACTGGACGTGGGTATCCCCCCGATTTGAGTATTGATCGATGGTTCGCCTGCCTGTGGGTCCAGATGAGATATGCCAGTCAAGCTCCTTCTTACCCTCTGCCTTTGGGGAATGACTGTCACTGGGACTGTGATCTCATATCAGACCCGAAGGGGGATATATGCCCTTACTCTCGAGAATTACCTTCGAAAATATTGATGCACGAAGATAGAATATTTCAAGTGACATCTGTCTTACCCATTCTGTGTCTGCATCAAAACCCCGTGTCCAAGCCACATCCGTACTAGTCATATCTTGACCCTAGGGTATTTGCGTGTCTTTCCCCTCCTGACACATCCTGTGCTTCGTTTCCTTACTATCCCGTTCATCCTCATCTTGACATCGTCTTGTTCTTCGCTGCTTCTCACGACTTCGAGGCCGTCTAACCGCCTCTCTTTCGTACTTTGTGGCACTTGTCCCCCTTGCTGACTCTCTCGCGGAAAAGGTGAGCAGGCAAAATTTTATCGTGTTCCACTCAAGTTTTCCGTCCCCTCCTCCCGGCATTCTCTCTGTTATTTGTTTCTTGCTGCTGTCGAGGAGCACTAGCAGTGGCAGCAGCAACAGGGGCTGAAGCACATCTGAAACCGTCTACGTCACGTCATTAGCAAGTGACTCGACAACATGGACGACGATGACGATCCTGTCCCTCGCAACCCCCCCATATCACCGGCTGATATGTTGTAGAGTGGCTAAGGCACTGGGAGAATGATAGATATCAACAAGACTGACAGCGTCTCATAGAAAACAACGCAAAGCAAACTCGCGGCCATGCAGCAACCCGAGAACACGGACCCAACTTTCCCCGTTGACGGAGGGGGATGTCGACCTCCGGGCGAGACCCACATAGAAAGCCAACGATCGGTGGATCCTAATATGTCTATTGAAGACTACAACCGCGTTATGCTGCAGTATACCCAGCGACGTATGTCGACCTTCCTGGACATGGGCAATGACAGCGGCCCTCCCCCCAGTCGCAGCAGCCAGAGTAGCGACAGCAGCGGCAATAGTGGTGTCTCAACCAGTGGTGTGCTGGCCCGTCAGGCTGCAGCTCCTACCTCTCTGGGAGCCTCTCACCATCGCAACTCCCAGTCACCCGGTCATCAGCCCGTGAAGCACGCTGGCGAACCGAAGACAGGACTTTGAATCTCCATGTTCGTGGGCCGCGACAACGACTACGGGGTGGTATTGCGAGATCCAATTCCTCTCATATGTCGTTGACCACTAGCCATGATGACGATGATGATGCGATGTGTTTTCTTTCTTCGATGGAAGAAGTGTTGGTGCTTTAATGGGAAGCTTCAATGTCCAGGAACTCTGTTCCTAGTCGATCTTTCCGGCGTTTTGACGAGTTAGCGAGGAAGCGTTCTACAATACTCTAGCGACAGCGAGGCGATCCTTTCCAAGCGTGTTTTCTCGATCTCTGCCGCCGAGATCATCGCCCCCTTTTGATTTTTCCGTACCACTAGAACACGTTTGTTTCCTACACTTGATCCGACGATGCTTATTTTTTCCCTTCTCAGATGCCTCCTGGCATCTAATGCATATGGCGTAGTAGAAACCAACCATCTCCGACAGAATTCACTTTCTCCTTCGAAACCTCTTTCTGAGGTTGATTGGGAATCCCTTCAAGGTGGCTTTATCAAATGGCTCCCCAGTTGCTAACCGTTCCCCCCTTCTACTATGATTTTTCGTCATATTCATTTCTTGTCATTCGTTCGGCCTGAAAGAGGCACCTAACCGTTTCGCACTCACCTATTGATTGTAGCTGTTCGGTGTATGTCTTCATATTCTGACAGCAGGCAGTCAATCAACAAATTTGGTACAACAGCACCTCATCCCAGGATATCTCTGCTGGTCCATGATTCAGCTTCTCAGGAGGAGAGAGAGTTGGATCTTTGTATAAAACACTGTTTTATTACTGCCAGCGTGATTTTTCTGGTCGTTCTGGGTCGAAGGGAACTGGTCTTCCCGTTACTGACTATTTCTTGTTACAATGCTACGACCTTCCTGCTCATAATGTGTTCTCTATGTGACTCGCGGCT